AATTTGTCAATTAAAAACAGTAGAAATTATTGATAATGTTTTTTTTTTGTATTTTTTTCCAGGATTATCGTATTGGAGTGGGGATCACATCTATTGACATGAATGTTGGCAATATTAAAGAATCAGATCGTCGGAGCTTTGATCTCACAACCCCTTATCGCACCTTCAAGTAATCATAAAACAATGCACTGACACTGTAGTGTAAATCATCAAGGTGACTTGCAGAAACATCCTGCACGCACATTGTGTAGGACCTTTATCTGTTTCTTTGAAATCAAAGGTTGACTGATAGGACTGTTCAAAGTCAATGCCAATTTTTACAAATTATGGCATCTGATGGCTTATATACAACACCAATATTTTTTATTTATTATTAGAAAATGTGTATTTTTCAAAAAACAAAATATAACAATGGTTAATTGTTAAATATTTCACTTTATTTAAATCAACACTTAGCACTTGTATACTTAATTAATTTATAGTAGAGCATTCTCAGCATTGTCCACTGAATAAAATCAGTTGACTGATTATTTTACGTCTTTTTAAAGTTGTATTTTGTAACTTTTGCTCTTTGTAAAAATCTGATGCAATAATCATAACTACTTTTGTAGCAAAAAAGTGCCTCTGTCATCTTATTACAGTAACTTTACATTATATATTTATATTTAAAGAGGGCGAATAAACTGAAGCATATCAATTTTATTTAAATTTAAACTCTTTTGTAAGCTGCCTGAATGTCTTACAAACTAGGCCTATATGTATCGGTTTGTTTCCTCTTTTATCTCATTTATGCATGTTTGGTGTAACAATTACTACATGGAAATGAATAACTGAGTTATTCTAGTTATTCTAGACTAAAAACATACATGTTAGGCTGCCTTCAGGCCCAGGCCTCCCTTGTAAAAGAGATCTGTGATCTCGATGGGATTTGCCTGGTTAAATAAAGGTTAATAATAATAATAAAATAGTTAGAAGAACTCATTCAGAAGTGGGCTCATGGTATTTTATGGACCCTTATCTCTCATCAGAGCTCTCAGCTGGGTGTTAAAGAATGAGACAAGCTGCTTTTGTTTGACTGTGTGTGAATAAGTGCACATGTTGTGTGGTGTGTGTGGTCTTTTGGCAGACAGTGCACAGCCTGCAGAGCAAGAGCTTGACAGGATGGGGAACTGTGAACAGGCTTTCTTGTTTCTGTGGTGTGTGCACGTGTGTGTGCACGTTTACATGAACAAATCTATTTCTGTACATTCAGTTTTTTGTGTTGATTTACAGTGGTGTCCAAAAGTTTGAGATGACAATCATCATTATTATTATTATTATTATTATTATTATTAAACCAGGCAAATCTCACACATATCTCTTTTGCAAGGGAGGCCTGGGCCTGACAGCAGCCTAACAAAATAAAATAATTTACTTAAGCAATAATATCAACAATAATCATTTTTCCCACTGGAAATAACTCAAAACTTTGAAGATTTTCTAAAATCATAAATTAATTTTCTGTAAATTAAACAATAAAAGCATTAATGCTTTGCATTACTCAGATTTTACATGACACAGTTATTTATCTGTTATAAGCTCTTTTAGTTGTTATTTTGTTTATTAGAATTATTATGCTATACTGTTAAATCTTGTAGTAAAATAATTTACAATATAAATGAAGAGAAGATAGGAAGTAAAGTGCAACTCAGTTCTTCCCCCCAAAAAAAGTAACACTGTCTGTATCACTTAAAAAAAAAACGCTTATTAAACAGGAAGTTAGTAAGCCTAAATGTACCACAAAGTTTGAAAAGCTATTATAAAAATAAAAGATGCTGAGATGACAGAAGTCATTTCATCATCTCAGAAGTCATCAAGTTTGTAAAAACTGTGGGAATCTTTGTCATTTCAGTTTTTGAAGCAAAAGTTCAAACCAAATAGATGTTTTGAAAGTACAATATTATTAACAAGAGCCATGGGAACTCCAAACAACTTTTTTCCACAGTAAACCATCTCCTTCAACCCAAACCCCCCTCACTTACAGAAACAACTGATGAACACTGCAATAACTTTATGGACTTTTTCCATAACAAAATTCACATCATCCGGTCTGCCCTGACAAACTTGGTAGTTTCACCTGCACCATTTTACAAGCCCCAGGATAACAATCCTCAAATTCTTCGATGTTTTACACCAGTCTCCGAGCAAGAAGTGACTGCTATTATCAAAGGAATGAAATCCTCTTCTTGTGCCCTTGATCCTTTCCCCACTGCTCTGCTGAAAATAAACATCTCTTTCATCAGTCCTTTGATCACATCTGTGATAAACCTCTCCATCCAAACTGGTTTTGTCCCACCTACCTTGAAAATAGCAATCATCAAACCTCTTTTTAAAAAGCCCACCTTGGATCCAGCCCATCATGTCAACTATAGACCTGTTGCCAACCTTCCATTTTTGTCCAAAGTGCTGGAAAGAATTGTGGCAGCCTGTCTACATGACCACCTCACCACTAATAATATCTATGAGGTATTCCAGTCCGGCTTTCTTTCAGCTCATAGCA